GCGGCCATCCAGCCAGTTCTTTATCCACTGGACGGTCTGTGCATCAAATTGGTGTCTCTCCAATTTAGAGACAAGGATGTCATGAGGGACAGTGTCGAATGCTTTGCACAAGTCCAGGTAGATGACGTCAACTGCTCTGCCGCTGTCCATCACTTCCGTAGCCCCATCATAGAAGGCCCTTAGTGAAACCATGCTGGCTGTCACCAACCACCTTGCTGTTTTTCATGTGCCTCAGAATTCTTTCCAGGAGAATCTGCTCCAAGATTTTGCCAGGCACAGAGGTGAGACTGACTGTTCTATAGTTTCCTGGGTCTTCCCAGGGTTATATTTCCCTTCTTCAAGTCATCAGGAACTTCACCTGACTGCCATGATTTTTCAAATATGAACAGTGGCTTAGCAACTTCATTTGCGAGCTCCTTCAGGATCTGTGTATGGATTTCATCAGGTCCCATGAACTTGTGCACATTCAGGTTCTTAAGGTGGTCTCGAACCTGATCCTCTTCTACAGTGGGCCTAAGGTCTTCATTCATAGTTGCTAATATTGAACGTGTGTGTTTGTTGTTAACTAGAATGAACTTAAAGTGACAATGGCTACTTTGAAAGAAGAACAAGAGCAGCTGAAATCAAAAATTGTAGAGAGTCCAGAGGAACTGAAAAATTACAAAGAACTGATGAAAGAGACTGTTAAGAAACTCAAGAAATCCAAGGTGAGGTTTTCCTTTGTCCACACAAGGAGGTATTCTATCAGAAAAAGCACAGTTTTTAATGAGCTGTCGTAATCTAGAACTGCTGCTTGAATGACTTGTACTTCTAGTCAAAAATCAACAGTGGTTAGTCTGAAATGAAATCACAACTTCAGAGAAAACAAAGTTGGTTGTGGGTGTGACTTCTTTGTGTTGCTATGGGTTGTGGTTTTTTTGTGTTTTTTTTTTTTTTTTTTAAGCAGGATTGCAGGCACTGCTGCTTAGTCCTCAGTGAGTAACTATTTATTTCTGAAACTAGGTGTAGAACTCTTGAATTTATACTGTATCTGTCTGGCTGTTTGCTCTCTAGAGGTGACAATATTTTGACAGTTTACAAATGTCCTTGGATTTGAATTATATTCTTCATAGTGTTTCTATTGTTCATTGTTTCTGGAATTCATGTCTGTCTCCACTAGTATGTTGAACACTGAGTTACCTTCCTATTAGTTTTTGTAGTAATGTCCAGTTTTTAAATGTTTGTACTTCATGACCGCTGATACATCACTGAAGCTTGCACCACTTTCTCTCCCTAGCTAATTTTGTTCTGAAGGTGGAAACCTTACTGCTTTAATTCCAGACATCTGTTTTTATGATGCTGTATGTAACTCCAGTTTTACCAGTATAGAATTTCTTTACTGTACAGATTTTTTTTTAATTTTTCTGTCCTGAAAGCTCTTCTAACAAGTTAGTTAGTTCAGTGTAGAACACTTGTGTGTCACTTTGCCTGTGCTTTACAAATAAATGCTTCTTTTTACAAACTGAAGATCTCATTTCAGTAACTACTAAATACTACTTCTAGTGTATATTAAACAATGAAGGAATGGATACAAAAGTTAATATGCATTAGTACTATACAAAATAGCTGAACTCTAAAGCTATTTATTAATAATCTTTTCTGTTTAAAGCAAGAAATCATTGAGAAATATGAAGGTTACAGAGACCTAGTTGAGGTTCTGCCATCATGCCAATTGGAGGTGCAGTTATATCAAAAGAAGATGGAAAGACAGGGAGCAAATGTGGAAAGACTGGCCAGTGTATTATCAGAGGTTTGTATTATGCAAATTTGTATCTGGGTAGGGAGAAATTAATGTCCAAGCAAGATAGGTGGTCATCAGTAAATGCCTGTGTTTTGAAAGTTCCCATCTCTCTTCTTCGCCAAAAAGGAAGAATTGGGATAACTTCAAAAATCTCATTCTTAAAAATGTCAGTAAAACATAGCTGCGCTCATGTGCTATTGACCACTTTTAATAGTCAAAGCCTTTGTTGCCGTAGAAACCTGACCTAAAATAGTTTGAACTGTCTTGGGATTGTTGGTAGGAAATGATGGAAGAAGAAAACTGAGATACAGTTTCTTCTGCCTAGAAAATGGAAACCAAGAGCAAAAAATTATTACTTCAGAAAGAGTTATGTCTTAAGTGCTTTTAACTTTATTACTAAGCCAGCCTTTCCCTGATGAAATGTTTGTCACAATACAGTACCTTGCTATTTGCTACTCAGTTTTGGGAGAATAAAATTGTTAGGAGCTTTTGAAAAAATGGTATGCAGTCTTTTTGGGTATTTGTATAGCATATGTTCAAATTACCCTTAGCTAAGAGTGATAGCAGAACTCATCATTTCTGAAAATCATTCTAAGTGATGGGATCTTGTCCATTTGGATGTATCTAAAATCAGATAAATATTAGGGAACTGGAATTTAACTGGGAGAATTTGTTAGCATCAGATCTTCCAAAAGTAAGGAGTTAGTTCTAATCTTAGTAAACCAATAAGGTATGCTATTTTGATTTCCCCTTCCCGTCACTCCTATTCAGTTTATAACAATACTTCTGTACTCTAGGTCAGAGATCTGGAGGACCAGCTTGAGAGTGCTCAGATAGAGCTGAAAAAGGGGAAGACAGATGAAACGTCCTTAAAGAGACTGGTCACTGCAAAACATGAGAAGCTGTCTACAGCTGAAATAAGGATAAAAAAGAAGCGTGAAGATGTTGAGCAATATAAGCACACTGTATTTGAGTATGGATGAGTTGACGTTTCTGCATGATGCTACTTTATGTCTTCGTTATGTGCTACCAAAGTTCATGTCTGATACAAACATGTAGCTTAGCAATGAGAAGAAAATGAGTAATGTGGGATAGCTTTTCGTGAAGACCAGTAATGCTGCAGGCAGGGACTTGGGGTCTCAAATTGATAATTGCAATGTGACTTGACAGCAATTCTTTTATTGGAGCACTAATTTAATTTATAATGCTTACTCTTGATTCTTTTATCTTCTTAAAGAGAATGTCACATTGGGATAATTTTCCAACTTATCAGACTTCAACAAAGCCCCATTTGCCTTTCATGAATTTTTCATAATTTCCCTTGCCACTTTTGCTCATTATCAAAGATGTTCAAGACCCATGGGGAAATGGGGCTCATATCTCAGAGGAGTATTAGCTTGACATGATGCTTCTAAAACAAAAGGAAAAGTGTCATTTGATCAAAGCCTCTTAGCCCATCTTCCTTCCTACCATATGCTAAAGGCAAGCTGCAAGGCAGTGTTTACAGTACAGCAGCTACTTTCTACAGCAGCAAACTGTAACATTGTGGCTTTGCTGTAAGATTAGAGGTGCTGAACAGTTATAGAGAAAGCTTATTGTATAATATTTTCTTTGTGCATAGATAGGAAAGAGAATATGGAAAACTATGGGCTAGGTACGTTAACTATAATTGAAGAGAGCTTTTTCCACAGAGCTGAGAGAGTCAACTAAGATTTAGTCATGCTAATAAAGCTTCTGTGGTGTGTAGAACGGCAGCAAGGTTCCCAGGCTTTCTTTGCTCCTCATCTAGTGTATTGCACCAGCTAAATAAGGTTAATTAAAAAGCTACTTTTCCTTCAAAATAAAGAATGAAAACAATATAATCTAATGCTCTCATGTTAAAAGTTGCTGCAAATTTATTTTTTTAATGTGTTAGATATTTCCCTTGAGTGATAAAATTGAATGCTTTGATAAGCAAGAAGGGAAGAGAGGTAACCTTGGTTTGAAAACAAGGGGTTTTACTGGTGAATGAGAGAATGTGTCCTGACTGTTCCCTTGATTTAGGAAGGTATAAGTAGACTATTGCTGTAAGTTATTTGAGACATTTTTTAGCAAAAGTAGCTGCTGGAGTTCCAGCTGTAATTATTGTACAAATGCTTAGTATAAACTGGTAGGTCTTTGCATTTGAAAAATAGATTTCCTGTTCCCACACTAACAGCTTGCTGATTATATGGCAGCTCACAGCTGGAGCTATCTGAATTTACTGCAAGATGGGGAAATGTTATTTGGTCTTTGTTTGGGATGCAGTGAAATGATGGACATATGTAGATGTATGGGATTAGAGCTCTAATTTGGTATGAGGTAATCTGGGCTAAGGAAAATGTGTGAGTTGCAATTATGCTGAAATATTAAGTGTAGTTAGTGCTTTTGACCTGGTCCAGTGAGTTAGGCAGGGCTCTCCATTGATGCACGAACTGTGCTGACCTGTACTGCATTAAGCTAAGGCAGGAAGATGCAGTGCCCAGCTGTCTGTTAGGTTGTTTCCACTGGGGTGAATGCTCCTCTAACTTGACTTTGTTACACTTTCACTTCTTGTACCTAAGTTTGTTCTAGTTTAAGAACTGGACAAATTTCCAAGCAAGTAAATTATATACAACATTGCTTCTAGAAGCTTCTAGTTTCACGCTCATAAAATTCCACCTTTGCTTGTGGTGGGGTTAAATTTTATCTCGAATTAGTGAAATAGCTCCGTACTAACTTTTTTTTCCCCACCTTTAGATATTGTAACAGAGTTCAGGAGAAGAGGGATGCTGTATATGATAAAGTGATGGCCATTCAGAAAGAAATCCACCAGACAAGGTTCAAAATCCAGCAACTGAATGATAATGCTGAAAAACAAGAAATGAAAGCCAAGGTGAGTTGATGGTTTTGGGTTTTTGGGTTTTTGTTTGTTTGTTTCTTTGTTTGTTCCCCCTTCCCCCCCAAAGGAATCCTGCTTGGTAATATCAAAACTGATTCTTAACTTGGGCTGTATAGATAAAGGATCACTTACTGGGCCTAAAAATGAGTAGGCTGTGCAGGCGGCAGTTTGCTTGGACAGTGGGAGGAAGAGTACTGCTTGCTTGTGGTGCCACTGGGTTGCAAGGGCTTTTTCTTGTCTCTGCAAAGCTGTACAGGTGGCCCACAGAATTGGGCTTTGCAGACCTGAGAGAAAAGACTGGAATGTTGTAACTGCCCAGTATTTTGGGAGATGAATTTAAATTTGGCTTCAAGCCAGTGCCTGTAGCAGATACTATGCTAGTTGCATGATGCCAGTTTTTGTATCATGGAGCTTGAATTATTATTATTTTTTTTTTTTTTCTTTTTTTGTTTGGCCCCTGGGACCTGACCTGTGAGACTTTACATTTGTGTTGTAGTGATGGGCAGTACAATAATCCTCTCGACAGTCTCCCTCAAATACTGGACCACTTGCAATGTCATAAACACTTTCTTCCTAGGCTTTCAGGAAGATGACTGTCCAGCTCAGCTTTGGAAAGACAGAAATCCTGATGGGTTTGGAGTAGGGGATCACAGTCTGCCTTGTAGCATCATATCCTATCTGTTCATTATTGAAGTTCTGTCCATACTGGGAGGAAATGGTGTCAGTCATAGTGGCAGAGACCTTGGTGGCATAGGTTAATGCAGAATGGGGTGGTAGCAGTGTGAATGCTGGGCTAGTGGTGGTTGTTTGACCTTCCTAGTATTTTGACAATTTGAATTACAGCAGAATCATGATATTGGGATTTTGCTTGTGGCTACTTTTATTCGTCTAGTGTTTCGTAACTTCCCTGTCCTCTGTTAATGCTGCTTCTTAAGTAAAGGATGAGGTACGTTTGGAGTCACTTGAGACCAACAGGCCACTCTCACTTAAATCATTATAAAGCATAAATATTAACTTTGCTGATGGATATTCCATCCACCTTTATCTCCTCTTTCTAGGAAATATACCTGAATCTGAAGACTTGTTTGGAGAAGCATCATGACTCTCTCATTAAGACAGCAAAGAGTTATGCAGCCTCACGAGAAGATAAAATTGCAGAATTGGAGAAGGGGCTGCTTAGAGTTCAGACTCCTGGAAGTAGTTCTTAGACCTGTCTTTGCTTGTATTTCACTTTCATTATGTTTATCCTTGTATCTGAACTTAAGAGCTTGTGCTTTGTGTGGCATGGATAATTAATGACTTTTTTCCACAGTGTTTATAATTATTTCAAAAAAATAAAATATTAATTTTTAAAATAGTTGATTTAAGGATATTTAACCCTCTCTCTTATATCTTTTTCCTCTCCCAACTCTTCCCTCT